ATCCCGATGGCATTCGAGGCACTGCAAAGAGTGGGAGAAGAAAGTTTCCGATCAAGGTGTATTTTCCATGGCCCCAGGTCGCAGTGCAGTTGACACCGTTTGGAGGCAACAGATACGCGGAGATCTAGCTGTAGCAAATCGTCAAGAGGCTCTAACTGTACTAGGAGATCTTAAGCAATGTTATGAACATGTACAGCATCCGCAACTAGTTCGAGCTTGCACGGACTGGCAATACCCCCTATTCACGGTACGTTTCGCCATACACACTTATCGGTGGGCTAGGGAACTCAGTATGGAGGGGATGGTATCGGAGGAGTTGGAGCCTGGGCAGGGGATCGTAGCTGGGAGTAGTACAGCGACGTTTGAAATCCGCCGACCCCTTGGGGATCATCGGCGTGTGAGATGCTTCCCCCTCCCCAAACCCCTCCCCCGGGAGCCCGGTCCGGTCGATTTGGAGGGGGGGGGGGGGTCCGGGACGAGCGCTCCACGGGGCTTTTCCTGGCCCAAGAGGGCTTCAAGACGGGCCACGAAGCCCCCAAGAGGCCTCCAAGACGGCCCACGAAGGCTCCGAGAAGCCAAACGACCGCTCCAAGACGCCCACGATGGCCCCAAGACGGGCCAAGAGGTCTCCAAGACGGCCCCTGAGGTCCCAAATGAGCCTCCCAAGAGGGCCCAAAGAGTCAAAAATTGGTGATTTTCCATAGTGTTTTTCGATGTTGTTTGCTTTTCCGCCTTTCCGGCTTCCCGACGCTCCAAGACGGGCAAAGAGGCCCCAAAGACAGCCCCAAGATGGCCCAAGAGGCCCCCAAGACGGCCTCCAGACGGCCCAAGACGGCCCCAACACGGCCCAAGAGGTCCCCAAGACGGCCCAAGAGGGCCGATTTGGAGGGGGTGAGAAGGCCGGGACGAGCGCAGCACGGCCGGGACGAGCGGTTCCAGGGCTTTTCCGGGCCCAAGAGGGCCTCAAGACGGGCCAAGAAGGCTCCAAGAGGCCTCCAAGACGGCCCACGAAGGCTCCGAGACGCCAAACGACGCCTCCAAGACGCCCAAGATGGCCCCAAGACGGGCCAAGAGGTCTCCAAGGCGGCCCCCGAGGTCCCATACAAGTCTCCCAAGAAGGCCCCAAGAGTCTAAAATTGTTGATTTTCCATAGTGTTCTTCGACGTTTTTTGCTTTTCCGCCTTTCCGGCTTCCCAACGCTCCAAGACGCGCGACGAGGCCCCAAAGATAGCCCCAAGATGGCCCAAGAGGCCCCCAAGACGGCCTCCAGACGGCCCAGGACGGCCCCAAGACGGCCCAAGAGGTCCTCAAGACGGCCCAAGAGGGCCGATTTGGAGGCGGGGAGGGGGCCAGGACGAGCGCAGCACGGCCGGGACGAGCGGTTCCAGGGCTTTTCCGGGCCCAAGAGGGCCTCAAGACGGGCCAAGAAGGCCCAAGAGGCCTCCAAGACGGCCCACGAAGGCTCCGAGACGCCAAACGACGCCTCCAAGACGCCCAAGATGGCCCCAAGACGGGCCAAGAGGTCTCCAAGGCGGCCCCCGAGGTCCCATACAAGTCTCCCAAGAGGGCCCCAAGAGTCTAAAATTGTTGATTTTCCATAGTGTTTTTCGATGTGTTTTGCTTTTCCGCCTTTTCGGCTTCCCGACGCTCCAAGACGGCCAAAGAGGCCCCAAAGACAGCCCCAAGATGGCCCAAGAGGCCCCCAAGACGGCCTCCAGACGGCCCAAGACGGCCCCAACACGGCCCAAGAGGTCCCCAAGACGGCCCAAGAGGGCTCCAAGACGGCACCACGAGGGGCCCAAGAGGGCGACCAAACATGTTGAAACTCTAGCTTTCTGCCCCCAGGAGCCCCAGGGGGCCCCAAGAGTGCCCCAAGAGGCCCCCAGAGGCCCTCACGAGGCCGCCCAGACGCCCCAAGGAACCCCCAAGAAGCACCCCAGAGGCTCCGAAACGGCCCCCGAGTGGCTCCAAAACTCGCAGTGTCGCTGTCCGCTCGGACCTCCCCGCGGAACTGCCCGAGACCCTCTGGCGGTGGCGGCGAACAGACACCAAACAAATATCACTCGCCTTTTCACCCCTTCGCAGCTTCTACTACCCCCAGATTGGCATAAACAAGGGGTCGGCGGTGTGGCGTAAGCCTAAGAATAAAATGTTACTGCATACCCACTGTAAATCGGTTCCAGGAGCTCAGGTTCGCACCTACCTTAGCTGTTCACATAGACGGTTTCTCGCTGAACCTGTATGATAGTTGTATTCACAGTTGTGTTAGAAATATGGCCCTGGCTATGGCATTCTTGGTAGAGCAGCTGTCCTCTCTCTTCAACCTGCGCTTTGCCTTTAACAAGTTTGCGATCACTGGCACCAGCACTGAGCTTGTGGAGCTCGCGCAGAGTCAGCTGGGACAGTACGCAGGTGAGTTTAACCACTCCATCATCAACTTGGGAGTGGACTTTGCGCCTGGGAAGTCCAAGACCAGACCCCAGGCCAAGGCTAAACGAAAGGAGAGGTGGAGGAAAGGGAGGTCCCGTCTTGCCAAGATACGCAGCCTGAAAAACCCGAAACGATCCAGGGCCAAGGTTTGGTTTCGTGGAGTCAAGCCTGCGACTACGTACGGCGAAGAGGTTGTGGGGTGGACGCCCCGAGAGATCAGGAAGCTCAGTTCTCAAGCTGCTGGCTTTTTAGGTCTCACCACCTGCGGGGCGGACCTCAACCTCGCTTTTGCCCTGGAGCCCAGCAAGGACCCGATCAAACATGCAGGCGCGACCCTAATCCGTTTTGCGAAGGAGTTCTGGTTAGCCACGGACGAGAAACTTCGGCCAGGGGATTGCGTTGCTGTTGGGGATCTGGTCAAGCTGGTCCATGAAGTTCACCTTTTTCAGGAACGTTGTCCGAATGCTTCCTGGGAATGGTTGGCGTGGGGCCCTGTCCGGGATATGTTGCAATGGATTTCCAGAGCTGGATGGTCTATCCGTGGTCCTGGGATTTTTACCATGCGGGATGGGGCCCCCTGTGTACTTTCAGATATACCGTATGTTTCTGTTTCAAAATACTTCGTCAGGGACCTAGGTAAGGAGTTCGTGCAGCAGAGTATGCAGCGTAGGCTGAAAGACTGTGAACACGAGCGTGCTGTTGAGATTCTGGAGCGAGGCCTCTGGGTGGAACCCCCTCGGTCCTTCTGGAACTCTAAGCGCCAGAGCAAGCTCCAAAAACGCGTCATGAAGCAAGTGTTCACTCGGTCTTATGTGACGGCCAGTCACCTGCACAAGTGGGGCTACCAGCTTGAGCAGCTTTGCCCGCTGTGCCGCGACGGAATGCACGGCACCATCGACGGAGTATGGCACAGGTGCTTTGAATGCCCAGCTCTGGAAGATCGCCGAGCAGAGCATCTCCCAGCAGAATGGGCAGCAGCAGGACTGGAGGCAGGACCAGAGGATCCGTTGTTCAGTTCTTTGTGGCTCCCCGTGCCGAACGACCTGCAGGAACCGACCTGGGACGGTAAGATATTTTTCGTGGGCCCTGACGGGCCCGTCGAACCCTTCCGATTCAACAAGAACGAGTATATATATATAGTGATGGGTCCTGTTATGGAGGTACCTACGATATGGTTTCCAGAGCTGGATGGTGTTTTGTTTCTGTCAACGAGGAGGGAGGATTTATCAGAGGCATCTATGGTAACGTTCCTGGTTTCCTTCCCCAGAGTTCTGTTTTCGGTGAAGTTTATGCGCTCCTGTCTGGCCTCACGCACCTCGAGCCAGATCAGGATGACGACCCCGACGGGGCCGAGTATTTGATTCATATTGATTGCGAAGCGTTGCTAGGAGGATATCGTGATCCTTGGAAGGCTATTTCAGGTGCCAGTCCGCTGTCAGAAGTATGGCGTGCCCTCGACCGTTCAGCAGTTCCCCAGTGGAGTCTGAAAAAAGTCAAGGCCTATGTGAAAGGAGAGCTCACGGGAGTTGCCCTGCGACACCAGCGTGGCAGTGACAAAGCCGATGAGCTAGCTAAAGATGGAGCTAAACGTCATCATCATGAGGTCCTTAATGATATTAACAAATACGAGGTGTGTCTAGCTGGCTGGGAGGAAGTAGCTGTAGGTATGGCCAATATTCTCCTAGAGATCCCGAAAGCTAAAGTTCTCTTCGGGGATTTAGCCCGCAATCCGTCCATCCCGAGGCCGAAGGTTGTCTCCAGCGGTCGCCCTCACCGTGTGCTCTGGACTGGTTTAGCGTGGAGGTGCGTCCAATGTGCTCGCACCTTCTGCAATCAGCGACCCAAGAGCCCGTGTGCCGCCTTGACCCCCAGCCTAAGGCTGGTGGTGGAGTTGGAAGTCTCTCCCCCACACAAGTTGCACGTGTGTAGCATTGTAGAGACTAATCTACCATTAGTGTTTTGTTCGCGTTGCGGAGCCTATACTTCGGGCCTTCCCCGTAAGATCGGTGAGCCCTGCAATAAGATCTTCAAGCAACAGAGGTCTCAGATTATGAATGGCAAGTGCCCAAGGCCTAAGGGCCTGCACTTGACGCGTCCGTGGCCCCTGGCTCGCCCAGAAGAGGACCCTGGCGGCGAGTGGTGGGGCAAGATGCGCTACCTCTAATTAATTGTTAGTTTCCTCTTCACGTCTCTTTTTCCCACAGCCCTTATCGATCATGGATTGGAAGGAGCAATGAGAGAGCCACTGGAAAAGGAGGAAGAGGAGGAGGAGGAAGAGGAGGGGGGTGGGGGTTCACGCCGCTCTTCGCTCGTGAGCTCCCGAACGAAGTGAAACCCCACCCCACCCTCAGAAATCGTGGGGGGTGGGGGTAGTGTTCGCATGTGGCCACCGACCCAACCTCCTCCCGGGAAGCGTAGGGGGGGGGGTCAGGGGCAGAGGTAGGGTTCGATGAACAGCGCCCTGAACGCTGTCTATACGTTCATGTAATTTGTATCACCTATTCTTGGTACCTGCATCGAGGCCCTCCGAGAGCCCCCCACGAACCCCCGATGCAAACGGGCTTCGCGGTCCTTGTCCAGGTACACCTCCGGGGCGGTGTAGGAGAGGGTGCCGATCATCCCCTTCGCCCGCCAGGCCGCGCTCGCGGAGCGACGGGCAGCGCCGCGGCCGCGGCCGAGCGGCGAAGAGCGCCGACGACGACGTGGACGAGGACGAGCGGCAGGGGAGAGGGAGGGGGGGGGCGGCGACCTTCGCCCACTCCTGCGCCTCCTGCTCCCCCCCCCCGCCCCGTCCGCATCCCCGCCTTATCCTCTGCCTGGTTCCCCTCTTCTGCGTCCGCGTCCGCCCGCCAGTCCTCCCTGGAGCCAGGAGTCGGGAACGGCCCAGAGAGGGGGGGGCGACCTGCTCCCGCTCCTGCGCCTCCTGACCCCCCCCCGCCCCGCTGGCATCCCCACCTTGTCCTCCTCCTGGTCCTCCTCTTCTCGGCGGCGAGCGAGGGGGGGAAGCGAGAAGGAGAAGACCCTCTCAGAAGGCGGCAGGACTTCTCAGAAGCCCTCGCGCCACCTTGGCGGTCCCGGAGCCCGAAGACGGGCCCAAGGGGGCGAGTGTGAACGAAAACGCCCGGTTTGGAACAAGAATCCCATCGGAGAGTTCCTTGAGGGGCAACGTTGAGGGGGGGACTAGCTCAAGAAGGGAAGCATCGAGCTCGAATCGGCGGCACGAACAGATCGGCGAGCTGTCCCCGTTGGCGACTCCGCAGGCTCCTTGGCGGGGCAGGCTACTGGAGCCACGTCGGCGATCGACGGGCGATCGTCGGAGTCTTCGCATCCCCTCCTGAGCCCATTCCCCCCTGAGCGTTGCCCTTCGACCTTCCGCCCCTTGGCCTTCGGCGGACAGCTCGAGCCTCTGGCGGCCGCTCGGGGCGATCCCGGCACCGCCGGATGCGATGCGCGGCCCCAGAGGTCCCGACCAGCTCCCTGGGGGTACCTTTCCCGTGGGATTCGTTTCTCGTGCCCACGGGACCTGATAACGGAGGACACAATCGAGGAAACACGCCCAGACTGAAAAAGATCAGATCGCCCCCTACCATCGACCCTGACCCCTTCGGCTTGGTAAGATCAACCCCTTGGCATAACGGGCACACTTGGGGTGTATCCCCGAGTTCCCCAAGGGGGCAGGGGCCGCCAGCAAGGCCTGTGCCGCGCCTCCTCCTCCTCCTCCTCCTCCTCCTCATCCTCCTCCTCCTCCTCCTCCTCCTCCTCCTCCTCCTCCTCCTCCTCCTCCTGGGGGGGATTCCTGGGGGGAGGGAGGAAGCCTTCTTAGAAGCAGGCTGCCGCTTAGAAGCGCCCCCCCCCTCTGCCCCCCTCTGCGCGTGGGCGACCTCCCCTGAGCGGCTTCACTTCTCGTCGAAGAGCCGGGGGTCGGGGGCAAAAAAGATTAGCCTGGCGAGTGGCCCGAATTCAGCCGTTGGTACCGCGATCGAGTGCATAATCTTCGATGGGGTTTCTTCTGGGGGGGCGCGAAATGTGTCAGGGTCCTTCCCTCTGGGGGCCACGAGGCGGTGCCTGCTTTGCAGCACGCCATGCAGGGTTCCGCACCTCCGCAGGTCGCTCCACCCAGGTGGGGTTCTCTGTGGGGCGGCGAAACGCTGTCCTGGGTGTGGGAGACGCATGCAAACACCGTCACAGGGGCCTTAGGTGGAGCTCGATGTGGGGCCGCGAAACGCTGTGCTGGGTGGGGGAGACGCATGCGAACACCGCCACCGAGGCCTTACGTGGAGCTCCCATTGGGGCCACGAAGCGCTGTCCTGGGTGGGGGGCGCATGTGAACACCGCCACTAGGGCCTTAGGTGGAGAACGATGTGGGGCCACGAAACGCTGTCCTGGGTGGGGGGGCGCATGCGAACACCGCCTGTGGGACCTTTGGTGGATCTCCCTGTGGGGCCACGAAACGCTGTGCCAGGCGGGGGAGACTCATGCGAACACCGCCACAGGGGCATTGTGTGGAACTCCCTGTGAGGCAGCGAAGCGTTGTCCTGGGTGGGGGAGACGCATGCGAACACAGCCACGGAGGCCTTACGTGGAGCCCCGTATGGGAACAGCGAAACGCTGTGCTGGGTGGGGGGAACGCATGCGAACACCGCCATTGAGGCCTTACGTGGAGCCCCGTATGGGGCCAGCGAAACGCTGTGTTGGGTGGGGGAAGCGCATGCGAACACCGCCACTAGGGGCTTAGGTGGCCATCCCTATGGGGCCGCGAAACGCTGTCCTGGGCGGGAGAGACGCATGCGAACACCGCCATTGAGGGCTTCAGCGACGCCCCCTTTATGGGGCCACAAAACACTGTGCTGGGTGGGGGAGACGCATGCGAACACCGCCATTGGAGCCGTAGGTGGAGCTCCCTGTGGGGCCACGAAACGTTGTCCTCGGTGGGGGAGACGCATGCAAACACCGCCACAACGGCCGCAGGTGGAGCTCGATGTGGGGCCGCGAAACGCTGTGCTGGGTGGGGGGGGCGCATGCGAACACCGCCACTGGGACCGTTGGTGGATCTCCCTGTGGGGCCACGAAACGCTGTGCTGGGTGGGGGGGAACGCATGCGAACACCGCCACTAGGGGCCTTAGGTGGAGCTCGGTGTGGGGCCGCGAAACGCTGTGCTGGGCGGGGGAGACGCATGCGAACACCGCCACTGGGCCGTAGGTGGAGCCCCGGATGGGGCCAGCGAAACGCTGCCCTGGGTGGGGGGCGCATGTGAACACCGCCACAGGGGCCTTAGGTGGAGAACGATGTGGGGCCACGAAACGCTGTCCTGGGTGGGGGGGCGCATGCGAACACCGCCTGTGGGACCTTTGGTGGATCTCCCTGTGGGGCCACGAAACGCTGTGCCAGGCGGGGGAGACTCATGCGAACACCGCCACAGGGGCATTGGGTGGAACTCCCTGTGAGGCAACGAAGCGCTGTCCTGGGCGGGGGAGACGCATGCGAACACAGCCACGGGGGCCTTACGTGGAGCCTCGTATGGGGCCAGCGAAACGCTGTGCTAGGTGGGGGAAACGCATGCGAACACCGCCATTGAGGCCTTACGTGAAGCCCTGTATGGGGCCAGCGAAACGCTGTGTTGGGTAGGGGGAGGCGCATGCGAACACCACCATTATGGGCTTAGGTGACCCTCCCTATGGGGCAACGAAACGCTGCCCTGGGCGGGAGAGACGCACGCGAACACCGCCATTGAGGCCTTCGATGACGCCCCGTATGGGGCCACAAAACACTGTGCTGGGCGGGGGAGACGCATGCGAACACCGCCATTGGAGCCGTAAGTGGAGCTCCCTGTGGGGCCACGAAGCGCTGTCCTTGATGGGGGAGACGCATGCAAACACCGCCACAACGGCCGTAGGTGGAGCTCGATGTGGGGCCACGAAACGATGTCCTGGGTGGGGGGGGGACGCATGCGAACACCGCCACTGTGACCTTTGGTGGATCTCCCTATGGGGCCACGAAACGCTGTGCTGGGCGGGGGAAACGCATGCGAACACCGCCACTAGGGGCCGTAGGTGGAACTCTCTGCGGGGCCTCGAAACGCTGTTCTGGGTGGGGGGGACGCATGCGAACACCGTTGGAGCCGTAGGTGGAGCTCCCTGTGGGGCCACGAAACGCTGCACGGGGTGGGGGCGACGCATGCGAACACCGCCAGTGGGACCTTAGGTGGAATCCCCTGTGGGGCCACGAAGCGCGCTGTTTTCGACGGGGGGGACGCATGCGAACACCGCCACTGGTGCCATAGGTGGGGTTCTCTCTGGGGCCACGAAGCGCCGTACCCGGCGGGGGGGGAAAAGCAAGCGAAAACCGCCACTGAGGCCTTACGTGGAGCCCAGTATGGGGCCAGCGAAACGCCGTGCTGGGCGGGGGAGACGCATGCGAACACCGTCACTACAGCCTCAGGTGGCCCTCCCTATGGGGCCGCGAAACCGTGTGTTGGGTGGGGGAGACGCATGCGAACACCGCCATTGAGGCCTCCGATGGGGTTCCCTAAGGGGCCACGAAACGTGTGAGGGGTGTGGCGAAATTGGTGGCGACGATGGTGACGATAACGGTGATGATCATGACGTTGGTGATGATGATGTTGATGTCATGGCGATGACGATGACGATGACGATGGTGATGACGATGACGATGACGATGACGATGATGATGATAATGATGATGATGATGAGGAGGAGGAGGAGGATGATGATGATGGTGATGATGATAATGATGATCATGATGCTGATGATGATGATGATGATGATGATGATGATGATGATGATGATGATGATGATGATGGTGATGATGGTGACGGCGACGACGAGGACATGCGCAGGGCAGAGGGGGGGATGGGAGGAGGGAGAAGGGGAGGAGGACGGAAGGAAAGAAGGAGCGCGAGGAGCTGTCTCTTCAAAACGAGGACCCAACACCTCAGGATGGTTGAGAAAAACCAGCGGTGGCAGGCGGCCAACGGGCGGACGGGGGCGCCATCGCGCGCGGCTCGAGGCGGTGGAGCAGGGTCGTGGAGCCGAAGTCGCACATCTTCACCACGTCCGCGTCGGGCGAGCCTGGCGGCCCCAGCAGCAAGAAGTTCTCCTGGTGGCGCCAGCGGCGGCGAGCGACCCTGAAATCTGGGTGTTACAATTATTTCACACCCAGTGAATTCGATGATGATGAAAAAGATTATGATGATGATGATGCTGATGATGCTGCTGATGATGATGATGATGTTGTTGGTGTTGTTGTTGGTGTTGGTGTTGGTGTTGATGTTGATGCTGAAGTTGGTGTTGATGTTGCTGTTGCTGATGATGACGATGATGATGGTGGTGATGGCGATGTTGATGATGGTGGTGATGGTGATGTTGATGGTGATGGCGATGGCGATGGCGATGGCGATGATGATGATGATGATGATGATGATGATGATGATGATGATGATGATGATGGTGGCGAAGATGATGCTGATGATGATGCTGCTGATGACGATGATGGCGACGTTGACGCTGACGTTGACGATGATGAAGACGATGACGATGACGATGACCATTACCAGGACGATGATGATGACGGTGATGATGATGGTGGGTGGTGGGTGATGGGTGATGGGTGATGGGTGGTGGGTGGAGGGTGGGGGGTGGGGGGTGGGGGGTGGGGGTGGCAGGCGGAGACGGTGGGTGGTGGGTGGTGGGTGGTGGGTGGTGGGTGGTGGGTGCGGTGGTGGCTGTGACTCAGCAAGAGGTCGATGATAATGATGCGACGCGGGGCCGCGCCGTGAAGCGTGCTCCCAGAGGAGGAGGAGGAGGAGGAGGAGGAGGAGGAGGAGGAGGAGGAGGAGGAGGGGGAGGGGGAGGAAGGGGAGGAGGAGGAGGAGGAGGAGGAGGAGGAGGAGGAGGAGGAACAGAGAACAGGCCAGGCGAGGCGAGCGCCGACTCCGCTCCGCGCGCGGCGCCCCTTGCAGAGGACGGCGCTGGGGCCGCAGCCCCTCGGAGAGAGTCCGCCCGTCCTCCTCCCGGGCCCGTGCGGTCTCCTGCGGGCCCCTTGGCAGAGCTCTGGGCCCCAGAGGATCCCAGGAGCAGGCAGGAGCGCAGGGGGCCCAAGCGTATACACCACCCATATTGATTTACGTACTGTTTTTACGTATGATTTTTACGTATTGCTTTTACGTATTGATTCTTACACGTTGTTTTTTGTTCTCACGTTTACGTGTTGTGTTTACGTATTGCTTTTACGTATTTCCCTACCTAGGCTCTGCCTAGAAGGGTTCTTACTCTCTTAGCTTAAAGGGGCCGGGCAATGGAAACCGCCCCGGGCGGTTCCCCCAGTCCCCGCCCCGCGGTTCCCCCAGTTGCGCCCCCTGGGTTCACCCAGCTTAGCTTAGCTTAGCAGCTTAGCTTTAGCTTAGCTTTAGCTTAGCTTTAGCTTAGTTTTAGCTTAGCTTTAGCTTAGCTTTAGCTTAGCTTTACTTAGCTTTAGCTTAGCTTCAGCTTAGCTTCAGCTTAGCTCTAGCTTAGCTCTAGCTTAGCTTCAGCTTAGCTTCAGCTTAGCTTCAGCTTAGCTCTGGCTCAGCTTTAGCTTAGCTCTAGCTTAGCTTCAGCTTAGCTTCAGCTTAGCTTTAGCTTAGCTTTAGCTTAGCTCTAGCTTAGCGTTAGCTTAGCTTCAGCTCAGCTCTAGCTTAGCTTTAGTCTAGCTCTAGCTTAGCTTTAGCTTAGCTTTAGCTTAGCTTTAGCTTAGCTTTAGCTTAGCTTCAGCTTAGCTTCAGCTTAGCTTCAGCTTAGCTTCAGCTTAGCTTTAGCCTAGCTCTAGCTTAGCGCCAGCTTAGCTTCAGCTTAGCTTTAGCTTAGCTCTAGCTTAGCTTCAGCTTAGCTTTAGCTTAGCTTCAGCTTAGCTTCAGCTTAGCTTTAGCTCAGCTTCAGCTTAGCTCTAGCTTAGCTTTAGCTTAGCTCTAGCTTAGCGTTAGCTTAGTTGTAGCTTAGCTTTAGCTTAACTTTAGCTTAGCTGTATCTTACCTTTAGCTTAGCTTCAGCTTAGATTTAGCTTAGCTTTAGCTTAGCTTTAACTTAGCTTTAGCTTAGCTTTATATTAGTTTTAGCTTAGCTTTTCTGTTACTACTAGTGCCGTTTTCCTAGGGGCTCCAACTCCTAGGTAGGGTCGCACTGGGATAATGCTTTTATGCACGGTTAACATTTATTTTCTCACGGTTAAGAATTACCATTACCTCCCTCACCCCCTTCCTCTACCGCCTGCCGGGAGGGGAGAAGCAGGCCTCGAAAGTGGCGACAGTTTCACAGATCGCAGCCCCCCAGGGATGGCGAGGTCCCATTTGAATCCGCCGTGGGTACCCACTGTGCTGGGCCCCCCAGCAGCCCTCGAAAGTGGCGACAGTTTCACATATCGCAGCCCCCCAGGGATGGCGAGGTCCCATTTGAATCCGCCGTGGGCACCCACTGTGCTGGGCCCCCCAGCAGCCCTCGAAAGTGGCGACAGTTTCACAGATCGCAGCCCCCCAGGGATGGCGAGGTCCCATTTGAATCCGCCGTGGGTACCCACTGTGCTGGGCCCCCCAGCAGCCCTCGAAAGTGGCGACAGTTTCACAGATCGCAGCCCCCAGCAGCCCTCGAAACGCAGCGACGAGCCAGGTAAAGGCAGGGGGGGAGAGAGGGACGGGAAGGAAGGTTCGCGCGAGCAGTGCTCTATTCAAAACGAGAACCTAACGCAGGAGGGTTGGGAATAAGAAGAGGCGCCATGAAATCTGGGGAAATATCATGACCCCCGCCATGATATCCACCCCCCCCTAGTCATCACCCCTCTCTCTTCCGCCCCCTGGCCCGTCCCTGGGGGAGGAAAAAAGGGGCACCGATCCCCCGGTATTCTCCCCGGACCTCTCCCTGGACGCGTTCTCCGACCAGAACTCCGGGGAGGATCCATCCGCGGTGACGAGGACTTTCCAGGACGAGCAGCGGCATCGGTCCCTTCTAGGGAAGCGAACTCCATACACCGACGCTTTTTCTGGCACTGCACTGAACTTTGAACAGGCAAGCGGATCCTGGTGTATGCAGGATCCTGGTGTATACATGATCCGCTGTTACCCCAGGAAACGGATAAACAGAGTATACACCACATCACCCCCACGTCGCCCCCGACCCTCAAAAGTCCTGGGATTGATAAACATCCCGCCACTGGTACTGGTGAACGTTGCCTTATTCGGCGTTTCGACATTGGGCGCAAGGGAGGGGGGGAGGTGGGGTGGGTCTGGCTCCGGACCTCTGTTCAGTGCGACTGTTTGCAGCAGTGCGTCCTACGGGGGAGACTCCACCTGCCTGAAACGGACGCCAAAAACAGCCAAGATCTACTCCAAGAGGGGGGGGGAGGGGATGCGAGGGCCCGCGCCGATCGGCAAAACAATGAATGAGAAAACGATCACCTGTACATGGTTTTGTGTATCCGACCTCCTCCTCCTCCTCCTCCTCCTCCTCCTCCTCATCATCATCATCATCATCATCATCATCATCATCATCATCATCATCATCATCATCATCATCATCATCATCATCATCATCATCATCATCATCATCATCATCATCATCATCATCATCATCATCCGCTTCCTCCACCTCCTCCACCTCCACCTTTCGTTTCATTTCGCTAAGCCTGAGGCCCCTCGGAGGCCAGCTGACTACATCACTCCCATCTACGGACTACTGCTCTGCTCTTGCTACAAACAACCGACTCACAAACAGCGCGCTTTCCTCCAAAGCCAGTGCCTCCGCGTGAAACGAAGAAATTGGAGAAGATATGTACGTTCCGGCCATAAACAGAGGGCGGAACACCCATGTATACCCGTCGTGAACGCCCACTTCGACAATCCAACCGGTGGCTGAACACGTTCCCATTCGCGTGCCGCCGTCCGAATGCACCACGACGTTGCACTGTTCAAGGGGCGTGTTGTCGAACGGAAAGTCTAACTGCTTGCTCCACGACATCTTGGTATCCATTGTGTAATTGACAAGCCAATCAGCCACCACGTTGTAGTCGCGCTTACGCCATGTAACCAGATCGCAGTGTGGATAAGGCGGTGCCCAAGCATGCTGAAGTATAGATAACATACTGCTGCAAATACTGTGAAATATGGGCTCGGCGACCTCCTCCTCCTCCTCCTCCTCCCCCCCTCCTCCTCCTCCTCCTCCATCTCCTCCCCTCCCCCTCCCTCCCTCCCCTCCTCCTTCCTCCTCTCCTCCTCCTCCTCCTCCTCCTCCTCCTCCTCCTCCTCCTCCCCCCCCCCTCCCCCTCCTCCTCCTCCGCTTCCTCCACCACCTCCTCCTCCTCCTCCCCCTCCTCCTCCGCTTCCTCCTCCTTCTCCTCCCCCTCCTCCTCCTCCCCCTCCTCCCCCCCTGTTCCGATTCCTCCTCCTCCTCCTCCGAGGCCCCCGCCCCGCGCTGCCCCGCGCTGCCCAGCGGCGCGAAGCCTCCGAGGCGAGGGCAGCACGCGCCGCGGCGGGCTCGGCCCGTCGCCCCGGCGAGAGCGCGCTCTCGGCCACCGGGCGCGCGGCCACCGAGCGAGCAGCCGATGGCGCCAGCGGGAGACTCGCAAGAGGCTTAGGTTCGGAAGCTGGGCGAAGGCTGCTGAAACCGTGGCTGCTAAAACGGCCCTCCCGGAAGGAAAAAAAAACTTCCCGGAGTGAGGCGCGGCACGCGAAACAGTCAACGAGTCGATTTTAGCAGCCACGGATTTAGCATGATTTAGCAGCCCTTGCCCGGCTTCCGACTTGGGTCGGGCCAATCCCCCTACAAGGGGATATTGGGCGAAAAAATAAAGATACTCAAAAAATACCCCCGAAATGCTCAAAAATGGACAAAACAATCGTCCCCAGACTATTTTTTGACTATTTTCGAATATTCCCTCTGTAGAGGGACAGGCCCGACTTAACAAAAGGCTCACCATCACTCGGACGTCAATTCCTAGAAGTCAAAAAAATCCTGCAGTGAGCCGGCAGTGATGTGCTGCTGCAGGTGAGGTCATTCTGCCGCACCGCGGAAGCGAGTCGTGGCGCGTCCGCGGCGGAAGCTGGCACATCTCGCACTTGCCGCGAATTCAATCGAGCATCTGTAGAGGGCAGAAAAAAGCATCCCCATAATAACCACCCCGACACGCGAAGCCGTTTAGCAGACGTGCCCAAAGAAGGGATCGAACAGGGCAGGGCTGTTCAGTAGACGCCCAGGACCGGCTAGTCAACGCCAACTGTCAGGTCCGGGTGGGTTTTCCTCCCTTGGATTCTCCATGCATTTGTCGATTTCGCGCGCGTATCCTTCGAGCATGATCCAAGATGCTCCTCAGAGGTTCTCGGTTTCGCGCGCGCGTGCTTCGCAGGGTGCACGAAAAAAGGCTCCTCGATGGTCCCCGCCGAGGGAAACTGCACAAGTCCGAGCGATGCCAAGGCAACCAAAAGAAACCGCGCACCCCACCACCACCCCCGCGCTTCGGGAGCGGCCAAGAGGGGGGTGTCCAAGAGGAGGAGGTGCAAATCATGACCGGCGGCATGTGCGCGGCCCAGCGGGGGGGCCAGGGACGTAATGAAATAAGAAGAGGCGCCATAACATCTGGGGAAATATCATGGCCTCCGCCATGATATCCACCACCCCCCTAGTCATCACCCCCCTCTTTGCCGCCCCCGAGCGCTGCCCCCGTGGCGCGCACCGCGGGACGGGGAGCGCGGGCCCCCTCTCCGTCTTCAGGTCGCGGTGGACCAGCTGCTTCGCGTGCAGGTAGCTGGTCGCGTGGAGCATCTGCCTGTCTCGGGCCGCGCCCCACGACGAGCCTCGGGCGGCCCCGATCCTCTGGGGAGCGCCCCGCCGAGGACCCCAAGACAAGGTCGGGCTCCGGACCTCTGCTCAGCGCGACTGTCTGCAACAGGGCGTCCATCATGGGGGAGACTCCGCCTGCTTGAGACAGGCGCCAAAAGCAGCCAAGATCTACTCCATGGGGGGGGGGAGTGCGAGGGCCAGCGCCGATCGGCAAAACAATGAAGAAGAAAGCGGTCACACTTCTGGGGGGTCTGGTTTGAACTGCCTTGGAGAGCTCTGGGGGTCTGGGCAAAAGGCCGCCCTTGCACGGCTGGTCTGGGGGGGCTCTACAACTGCTCGACTGGGAGGCTTGTGACCCCCCTTGTACTATGAGCTTCGGAGTACCCAGCCCCTTTCATTTTCTTGCGATCCAATTTTCTCTCCCCCGCTGCTGTGTGTATAGGTTAACGACCAAAGAGTCGAACCTATACAATCATCCGTAGGTAGAGGTGAGCGAAGACGAGGGTAGCCGGTCCTTTCCCAGGGCGCTGTGACGAGGGCGGCGCGGCATGTGCACCAGCACCTGAGCCGATGTGCCAGCGGTAGTTATGTACACCCTCTGCGACATGCTTAAGAAATCATGGGTTCAGAAATTCATAGTCTCAGAATGTGAGCCAAAGCCCAGAACTTCTACTACAATCTTAGGACTCACATGGAAACATCAAGACTCATCGAGACTCCGGCCGCTAACTTGAGCTTTCTCGAGCACCGCCTAATTAGGGTGTGATGGCATCACGGCGCTACGAGCGGACTTCACACGCACAGCTGCCCCCCCTCCCCCCCCCCCGGGGCACGCCTGAAGAAGACCAGCCCCTGCTCGAGGCCCACCGCGGAGTGGCCTGAGCGGGGCGGGCCCGGGCCGCCGCCGAGGCGGGCACTCGGCACGAGCCTCGGCACGAGCCTCGGCTCGGGCCGCCCCGAGCCCCGCGCTTCGGGAGCGGCCAAGAGGGGGGTGTCCAAGAGGGAGGGGTGCAAATCATGACCGGCGGCATGTGCGCGGCCCAGCGGGGGGGCCAGGAACGTAATGAAATAAGAAGAGGCGCCATAACATCTGGGGAAACATCATGGCCCACGCCATGATATCCACCCCCCCCTAGTCATCACCCCCCTCTTTGCCGCCCCGAGCCCCGAAACCAGATCCGGTCGAAGCGGCCGCGCCGGGAGGCACCTCCAGTGCCAGGCACGCACGGGGCCGCGCGGAGCCGCCGCGGCATCGGGACCGAGTCGGGCCGGGCCGGCCAGAGTCGGTCCGCCACCCTCCGCGCCCTGGCACAGGGCATATCTTAATACATGGGATGTTTAAAAAAAACATCGGATTTTTAATACATGACTAGTTCATGAATACATTTATGCATGAACTCCTCGACGTTTTTGGTGCTATATCCTTGCATTTGTTATACATGATCCGCGCGCGGAGCATGTCTTCAAAACGGCGCTGCAGGCTGAGGCGTGGCAGAGTGCCAGGGGGCCGTCTGGCAAGGACTCCCCCGAGCGTCCCAGACTCTGCAAAGGGGCCCCCCCCCCTTTCTCATTCCCGCACCCGCGCGCGTGCACCGAGGAGGCGGTCCCCCGTAGAAACCCGCAACGGATCCGCGCTCCCGAGGCCACGAGGAGGAGGAGGAGGAGGAGGAGGAGGAGGAGGAGGAGGGGAAGGAGGAGGAGGAGGAGGCAGGAGAAGGAAGAGGAGGAGGAGGAGGAGGTCCGCACTCCCGAGCTTCCAAGACGACCGCGGCAGGCAGCCGAGGCCGGCACGATGATCCAAGAGGCCCCCAAGACTGCCCAAGAGGGCCTCCTCCTCCTCCTCCTCCTCCTCCTCCTCCTCCTCCTCCTCCTCCTCCTCCTCCTCCTCCTCCTCCTCCTCCTCCTCCTCCTCCTCCTCCTCCTCCTCCTCCTCCTCCTCCTCCCAGCAGGACCCGAAGAGGCCAAGAGCATGGATCCCTTCGGCTTCAAAGATCTGGGCGTCTTGCCTTTTCGGGCTTCCTGCACCTTCAGACGGCCCCAGATGCCTCCAAAATGGCCCCCAGACGCCCCGTCCCCCGAGACAGCCCAAAACAGCCCCAAGAAGGAGGAGGAGGAGGAGGAGGAGGAGGAGGAAAACGACGACCACGACGACGATGAAGAGGCCCCAAGCTGGCTCAAGAGGGCCTCTTGAGGGACCCAAGAAGGTCTTAAAGAGCCCCTCGACGGCAACAGACGGCCCCAAGACGGCGGCACGATCCGCCAGACGGCCAAGAGAGCCCCAAGACGGCCCAAGCGAGCTCCAAGACGGCCCAAGAATTAGGTCGGGCCTGTCCCCCTACAGGGGGATTTTGGGGGAAAAATGAAAAAAATACCCCGAAAATGATCCAAACATGCTCAGAAATAGTCGACAAAATCGTCCCCTGACAACTTTTTTGACCACTGTTGAACATGCCTCCTGTAGAGGGACAAGCCCGACTTGACCCAAGAAGGCCTCAAAACGGCCCAAGAGAAGCGCCCTCAGAACAGCCCAAGACAGGCCTCGAACAGCCCAGGAAACACGGCCCAGGCGAGCCCAAAGCGAGCCACAAGAGTGGCCCGAGAGACCGCCAGCGACGAAACCGAGGAGAGAACCCCCCCTGGGGCACGACGCAGACAAGCGCCACGTGTCGTTGAGGCTCCCCGAAAAGCCTCGGGGCACGAGGCGTCGCACGTGACGGCCTCATGCGCGCCCGCCGAACAATCGCCGCCCAAGGTCCTGGGCTGGCAGGGCGGCGAATATCAAATCAGATCGGCCAGATCGAAATGGATCCTGCAGGGTCACTCGGCTCTCAGGTCACAATTCGAGTCTCCGGCGGCCGCTCGGAGCGATCCGGGCACCTCGGGAGCGCTCTCGGCGAGGCGCAGCTGCCGGAAAGCGTCCCGAGGCTGGAAACACGCCGAGGAGCGGCGGGAAGCACCCGAACCCGCAACTGTCCCACCCCCCCTCGGCGGGGGAGCTCGAAAGATCCCGACAGCTGCTGCCCGGACCTCTCCCAGGGTGCGCTCGCACCAGAATTCCGAGGCGAGTCCAGCCGCGACGACGAGGGCCTCCCCGGAGGCCCAGATCGGAGGCGCGCCAGCACGAATTGGCACCTCCCCAGAGTGCGGCCGCTGCCGCCTCGCTCGGCGGCGGAAATCCGCGACTTCCCATGGAAGCGGGGCCCGTCGCCAATCCACGCCCCCCTGGGCCCATGCTTGCGATCGCCCGACCAGAAAGACGAAAACGAGGGAAGGGCAGCGGTCTCGGAGTGGAAACGAGCGATGCCGAGAACCCGCCGGGGGCCCGAGATCGCCATCGAGCCGGATCGCATCGCAGGTGTGGCCCCGCGGGGCGCGCGCGCATCTGCTGCGGGGGGCCGCTCCCCCGGGGGGGGGGGATCCACGGCCCCCTCGGAGCCCCGCTCCGAGCACGGCCACTCTGGCAGTTGGGCGACGAAAAGACACGGGACCTGCAGTAGGAGCTCGACCACAAGAAACCCTGCACGAGAAACCCAACCCTGAGACCCCAGGGTGCCCATTGATGTTTGGTGTGGGAACGTCAGGATTTCCATCGCAAAACCATCGAAACCCAAAAAACCCAGGGCACCCTGGAGGCAAGCAGGGTTGCTTCTTGGCATGACTTTCCACTGCACTCGAGATGGCATAGCTCGGCGATTCCGAAAGGTGAGGCTTGCAAAGGGTGTGGCTTGCAACCGGCACCCTGGGGGGCACCCTGGGGGACGGGCGGGAACCTCTACAGAGCGCTCCGCCGCACCCCGAGGAGGCCCGACGAGGACCGTGTCGTGCCCTCATCAGGCCCCAACGGCGCCGATCGCAGACGGACTACACCCTGGTGAGCCATACCCTTCGTAGTCGCCGAACAGCGACCTTACGCGGCGGCTCACGCGGGCCGCCAGCGTGGCACGCCTACATTGGGAACTTGGGCGCTCACGCGCCACCTGACGCGGGAAGCCTGCGCGCGAATGTCAGCATAATCGAACCCATTAGGGGGCCACATGCGAACCCTACCCCTACCCCCCACGATTTCTGAGGGGGAGGGTGAGGTTCACTTCGCTCGGGAGCTGCCGAACGAAGTGAACCCCACCCTCCCTCCAGAAATCGTGGGGGGTGGGGGTCGGGTTCGCATGTGGCCCCCTACCCATGTTTCTGCGTCGCTCATATGGACACCATTCCCTGCAGCCCAGACTTCTGCAAAAAGCGGCCGGGGTTCCGAGTCTGAGGGATGTCTCTGCAGCCACATGAGCCCCGGCGCGGGTGTTCGCTTCCCCGGCGGCGATTCGACCCGCAAAGTCAGGGCTCGCAAGTGGTCGCGCATCCGTCGCGCCGCCAGGTCTCCGAGAGAGAGCGGCTGCTTTTACACGCTTCGTAGGGGGCGACCTCTGGGCACGCGTCGTCGTCGTCGGCGTCGTTGTAATCGTCGGCGCATCGTCGTCGTCGGCGGCGTCGTCGTCGTCATCGTCGTCGTCGCCTTCGTCGTCGTCGGCGTCGTCGTCGCCGTCTTCGTCGTCGTCATCGTCGTCGGCGTCGTCGCCGCCGTGGGCGTCAACAATGGGGAAATTGTGGCTGCCCCCAAAATCCCGACCCCTCCCCTGAGATCCGGGAAATGAAATGATTTTCGCACCAGGCATTTTCGCCTGGTTGCGGGCCCTAGGACCTTCACAGATCGATCCGGCTGGAAGTATGGCGCAGAAAGATGGGGTCGAGGGCTCAGATCGTGACTGTAGACGATGTTGCATTTGTTTCGCAACGTCGGATCGAAAATCTGATACTTGGATCCCCCCTGCCCAAACAATTCCACACACACCCCTCTTCTCCGGAACCAGGACCACCTCCCCCCCCCCCCAGCCAACGCACCACCCCCTGCCCCCCCCCCCCCGCGAGCGAGAGTCAAAAGGGGCGTTCGAACTGATACCAGAACCAATCCTGGCGAACTAGTACCGATCCCGGCTGAGTGGGTCATCCCAGCCGAATCGGGAACAATCTGGGCTGAAAGTCCTACTCAGTAAAAGGTCTGAAGGGGCCGGGTAGACATTCTGAAGAGGCTTCTTCAGACCTTCTTCGAAGCTATGAAGAGGCTTCGCTCCAAGAGCCTCTGAGAAGGCTCTGAGAGGACTCCGTCAAGCCTTTGAAAAGCATCTGCGAAGGCTCTGAGAAGGCTCCGAGAAGCTTTCGACGAGCTCAGAAGCCTTTGAAAAGGCCCTGCGAAACGCCTCTGAGAAGCGCCTATGGGGGCCGAGCGAATCACTGACCTCGCGGGTGCCCGAGAGGACGACGACGACGACGACGACGACGACGATGCGACGACGACCACGACGACGAAGAGACGACGACCACGACGAAGACAACGACAACGCCGACGGATCACGACAACCGCGAGGACGACGGTAGAGAGAGAGAACGACGAAACGAAAAGCACATCGACGGGGACGAGGAGGAGGAAGAGGATCAGGAAGAATATTACATCTTTTCTTATCGATAGGACACACGAGTCAGCGCACGTATGTATATGTCGTTGGTTCGAGAGATTTCGAGGTTTGGAGTCATGGAGTGAGTGGTAACAAGTTTGAGTGATGTGTTGTCGCTTGATGACTTGTGGTGCTCTGCCAATGTATGTGCGAACAGGGGTCAGAGCGGTCAGTGTTCAGCCGTTGACAAAAAAAGGTAGCTGTGTAGCTGTGTTGGTTCGAAGGTGTTCTGTCGTTAATGTCAGGAAGACGGTCACAATCATTCCGTTTGGCAGTATGCATCGTTGTATAGGCTAATGATTAGCTGTGTCAGGTCACATGTTGTACCAGGTCCGATCGAAGCCAAGATCCGAACCACTTCGTGTAATCAAACGTTGTCACTGGGACTTGCCAGGTTGCCTTGGATCGTCTCGTGCTCGGGGGGATAAACATGGCAAGTTCTGGAGAGGCACGTGCTGCGATGATGCATCTACATGCAGATTCAATCGTTAAGTCGGGCAGCTGGTCAGAGTCATGTCGTTGAGCGGAGTGCCTCCCGTCGGTTGGAGCAGGTGTACAGGCCCGAGAGGCTTCGTGCAAGCTCGAATCAAAACAGTGGCCAGAAGATTGCCACTGGGAGGGTGCATCCGTGATTGCTGTGTCGCCTGGGCAGACCGACGGTCAGAGCATCACTGTTGAGAGGACGTGATCGTTGGCACGGGTAGCTGTGTTGAGTATGACGATGCGATTCTACCAGCCTCAGACCGACTGCCGAAGCCATTTGTTGAGCGAAGCCTTCTCGCTGGTTTGAGTACGTAGCTGTATTGATATGACTGCTTCGTTTGGTTGAGTTTGGCCGATGGTGATTCCCATTTCGTTGACTTGGGTACGTTCCTTGGTTACAGCAGTTTATTGATGGAAGCGATCTCGCTTGCCAAAAATCATACAAGTGGTCAAGCCAATTTACTACTAGCAAAACACGTATTAGCCAAGACTAAAATGTCACAAAAGACAGTGGTGAACGCTCTAATCAAAACCATAATAGCGATCACAGTATAAATGGGAGGGGAATGCCTGAAACTGCTTCTAATCTAACCATTGCAAAACCGAAACCAATTTGCCGGGATGTGCACCCGTTGCCAGGATCACTCGCACAACTGGTTCGAACCACCCACTGTCGTCGTCGTCGTCGGCGTCGGCGTGGGCGTCGGCGTCGTCGTCGTCGTCAGCGTCGTCGTCAGCGTCTGCGTCGGCGTCGGCGTCGGCATCGTCGTCGGCGTCGGCGTCGGCGTCGGCGTAGGCATCGGCGTCGGCGTCGGCGTCGGCGTCGGCGTCGGCACCGGAATCAGCGTCGGCGTCGTCGTCGGCGTCCGCGTCGGCGTCGGCGTAGGCATCGGCGTCGGCGTCGGCGTCGGCGTCGGCGTCGGCGTCGGCGTCGGCGTCGGCACCGGCGTCGGCACAAGAACCGGCGACGGCGACGGCGACGGCGACGGCGGCGGCGTCTGCGTCGGCGTCTGCGTCGGCGTCTGCGTCGGCGTCGGCGTCCGCGTCGGCCGCGGCCGCTGCGACGGCCGCGGCGTCGGCGTCGGCATCGTCGTCGGCGTCGGCGTCGGCGTCGGCGTAGGCATCGGCGTCGGCGTCGGCACCGGCGTCGGCACCGGCATCGGCGTCGGCGTCGTCGGCGTCGCGTCGGCGTCGGCGTAGGCGTCGGCGGCGTCGGCGTCGTCGGCGTCAGCGTCGGCGTCGGCGTTGGCACCAGCGTCGGCACCAGCATCGGCGTCGGCGTCGGCGACGGCGACGGCGACGGCGGCGGCGTCTGCGTCGGCGTCTGCGTCGTGGTCAGCGTCGGCGTCGGCGTCGGCGGCGGCGTCGGCGTCGGCGTCGGCGTCGGCGTCCGGCGTCGGCGTCCGCCGCGCCGCTGCGTCGGCCGCGGCGTCGGCGTCGGCATCGTCGGCGTCGGGCGTCGGCGTTAGCGTCGGCGTCGGCGTCGGCGTCGGCGCCGGCGTCGGCACCGGCATCGGCGTCGGCATCGTCGTCGGCGTCGGCGTCGGCGTCGGCGTAGGCGTCGACGTCGGCGTCGGCGTCGGCACTGGCGTCGGCGTCGGCACCGGCGTCGGCGTCGGCGTCGGCACCGGCGTCGGCACCAGTATCGGCGTCGGCGTCGGCGACAGCGACGGCGACGGCGACGGCGGCGGCGTCTGCGTCGGCGTCTGCGTCGGCGTCTGCGTCGGCGTCGGCGTCGCCGTCGCCGTCGCCGTCGTCGTCGCCGTCGCCGTCGTCGGCGCATTCGTCGTGGACGAGTCGGTGTGGTGGGCGGACGCGCGGGACACGTCGTCGCCGTGGGCGAGTCGGTCGGGCGAGCGGGCTGGACACGTCGTCGTGGTCCGCGTCGTCGTCGTCCTTACGTCACGCGTCGTCCTCATCGTCCCCATCGTCGTCGTCGTCGTCGTCGTCGTCGTCGTCGTCGTCGTCATCGTCACCGCTCCCACGTCGCTCCTCGCGTCACGCGGTCCGCAACGTACTCGTAGAGCTCGCCGCCGTGGCAGACCTGGGCTCCGCCAGCTGCAAAGCGGGACTCCTCCTCCTTTTTGTGTTTCCTCTCCTCCGCCTGCCTTATCCCCCCCGTCATCGTCCTCTTCCTACATCATCTCGTCATTCTCCTCACCCTCCGCCCCAATCATCCTCATCCTTCTGCACACCTCCACAAACCTCCGCGAACCGCCGAAAACCTTCAAAAACATGAAACGGCCTGCTGAAAACCTCTGGTGACATCTGACGACATGCAAAAACATACGACCTTACCATTATCCGCAACCGTGGCCCGGTGTACGAAGTGGAGTGTCGTCAGGCCCCTCCGGGTCCTCTGTGGCCCCTGAAAGAATATTACAACACTCCATGCAAAGGACCCGGAGGGACCTAAGGACGGCGCCTGCACTTGTATGATAGGGCGCAGCTGCTCATCACATCGATGCGCGCCTCTTCGGAAAAGGTTTTCGTGAGTCTGTGACTTGATCTGTCCGTCTTCAGGCCCCCTGGACGCCAACAGTTAACCCGTATCATGAGGACGCACGATAAGGATGCAAGGGCCGTGGAAGGTCGTTCCGAAGCCTCTCGAGCGGGGCGCGGCCAACGAAAGTGGGGATGAAAGGGGGAAACCCTTCGCAAAATTGCCCATCCTTGCTATCCTTTTTGGCTGTACCTCTTTTCACTTCGGTCGGGCATGCCCTGCCCCCCCGCAGGCGGACTTTGGAGGGAAATGAAAAACATGTTCCAGAAATAGCCTTATGTCGGGCCTGTCCCCTACAGTTAGGATGCGCAGGTCCGCTAGACTCTTGAAACCACGAAATCCAGAAAAGGCTTCTGAAAGGCTCCCAAAAGGCTATGTAAGCTATGTGTGTGAAAGCCTTTAAAAAAGCGTGTTCAAAGCTGTTTGTTTGCTATCTTGATTCTTCGTGTTATGCATGTTGGTACGGATGACCTCCTAACATACTGCTCTCACGACACATGCGCTTACCGAGGGCAGGGGGGAAGGGGAAGGGGAAGGCGGAGGAGGAGGGGGGAGGGGAGGGGAGGAGGGAGGGGAGGGGGGAAAGTGAGGGAAGAGGGACGGTCCGAGTTGGGAGCGAACACAAGGAGGCAGAAGGGGCAGCGGTCAAGGTTGGGAACGCCATGGAAAAACAACCAGGAGGCAAAAGGACAAAGGACGACTAAGGCAAGCAAGTGAACGAGGAGCACCAACAACTGAGAGGGACAAATCGGAAGGGCGAGGAACGGCATCAGGAGGGAATGTGTCTGACTCCTGCGCCGCGCGGGCTCCTCCGCCCTGAGCGCGGCCAGCGCGCGGAGGGCAGCAGCACCAGCTGCCCTCTCGGGGGGCAGCGGTCGCCCTCCCTTGGACGGGGCGGACCTCCCCGCCCAAGAAAAAAAAAACTCATGTCGCCGAGCCGCCGCTGCCACCCGTCGAAGCCCTTCTAGGGCCTATTTTGAAGCTCTGGGCCTTCTAGGGCCTATCTTGAAGCTCTGGGTCTTGGGCATTCCGAGGGCCTGGTATCATGTGCAGTCTGAGTGGCAGCGCCGACCAGCCACCTCCTGCGTCCACGGGGCCAGCGCCTCGATGGATCATCACCCCATCGAGTTTCTCAAGAGGCGGCCAGCCAACCTTCCTGGACCTTCGCCCCAGCAGGCTGCTGGGCTCTCGCACGTGGATTTCGGCCTCCTGGATTTTTTCTTGTTTTTTTTTTTAAGCTCCTGGATCCTGGGTTCCTGGGCCCCTGGGGTCCTCATGCTAAGACACTCGGAGGCCGAAAAAAAAAAAAAAACGCGGCGGCGAGCACTGGCAGGTGGCCTCACCCTAACCCTCGTGGGGCACATACTGCAGGGTCATCACCTGCTTGAGCACCTGCTGCACCGCCGCGTGCACGAGCACGCTCGGGACCGAGAAGTCACGAAGCACCTTCTGCGGCGCCTGGCACTTCGAGCGCAGCAGCACTTTGTTCGACGCGGTCTTGCCATCGAGAACCCAGCGCAAGACCTCCGACGTGGCCACCGCCGCTGCTGACTTCAGCATCGTGGCCCTGCTCTCCTTGAGCCACTCCTCGTCGGGCGTGGCCTGGAACTGCTCCACGATGTCTGCGTAGCCCTTGAGGGCCTGTGAGGGAGACGGGAGACGATGGGAAGGGGGGGGGACCATCAGGGGAAGGAGGATGAGGATCAGGCTATGTAATGAGGATCATGCTGGGCAGGGGGCGGGGTGCTACCTCCTGCCCCCTGCCTCCGCCTCTCACGATCCTCGTCCTGATCCTGATCCTCCCCCCTATGGTTCTCCTTCCCCATCCTCCCTCGTCGTCTCATCTCCACGCGGCCTCCTTCACAACTTCGAGCTGCGGGTAGAGCATGTCCACGTTGATCTTGATGAACTCCGTCGTCTTCTCGCGCAGGGTGTCGACGCTGTCGTCAGGCAGCACGTTCGCGTGCCACTGCTGCCAGCCGACCTCCTGGGACACCGACGTCTCGAAGACGTGCAACGCGGTGACCACCGCGAACTTCTTCTCCTGCACCTTGAAGATGCGCACGTCCGTACGCAAGTTCTCCACCTGGTCCATCAGCTGCCCGTACGAGCTCAAGAACTCTTCCCCGACGCCCTTGTTCATGAGCTCCACGTTCTGCGACGGATGGGCCACAAAGAGCGCCTTGCACTCCTGCTGAGCCTTGTTGAGCAGCCTCCACTTCTTCTCGTTCCCGTCCTGCTTGCACATCTCCTCGACGTCGGCCACATCAGCTGCTCCTACGAAGTTGTTCAGTGAAATCTTTAGCTCGTGGGCTCTGTGAATGAACGTGTTCACGTCGCTCGTCGTCAGGCCATCGCCGAAGTAACCCGCAAGCTTGCCGAGCACGCAGAGGGAATCTTCATGGGTGCCGCCGTCCACGTCGATGTTCTGAATGGGACCGCTCAGCACGAGTACACCCCAAGCTAACTTCACAGCGTTGGTGAGGGACTCCAGGGGCTGCTCTCCGAAACTCATCACCTTGAAGTTCTTGAGGTCCGAGTTCAACTTGGAAATGCTGCCGCCCTCACTGAACGCATTCAACGAGGCCACCAGCGACTGCACCCTGTGCGCAGCGTTGGCGTTGGAAATCTTGACCTTCACCGCCTCGAGCGCCCGATAAATGGCATCGTCGGCCCTGCAGACCCTGTTCGCTTCCTCCAAGACCTCCTTGGCGGAAGTGGTCAGCATCAGGTAGCGGCCGTCGTCAGTGGCCGCGTCGCCCTCGAAGTTCCGATCCAAGAGGTGCTGAGTCTCGGAGGCCGGAACGGGCGCCAGGACCCAGCTACACTGGTCCCGACTCTTCAAAACAAATGGTAGGCCCAAAACGGGGCATCGCCAAATCGGTGGCAGGTTTTGCGGGGCCCCAATGTAATAAGATTGGCCACCACCGCCCCCGTTGGCAACGCAGCCCTGCACGGGCCCCCGCCAACCACGGAGGACGGAGGATAGCAAGGAGGGGAGGAGGAGGGAAGGAGGAGGAGGCATGGCGAAGAACCCTATTCATGAATATCCAGCAAAGCGAATCCGCACATGTGGACCTAACGCATACGAACAACGTCAGGAATCCTCTGGTCACTGAGCCTTCGGTGGGCCCCCTTTCGCGCTCAAGCTGTTCGCGCGGGGCGTGCCCAAACAGGCGAGGGGGAGGGGGCAATGCGACCCCTGCCGCTAAAGCCTTCGCGCGACATCCCTGAGGGGCCACGATCTTAGTGAGGGGCGCACTGGCATGACAGCGGGGGGGCGGGCGCGCTAACTTAGCCGCGACGGCTTTCGGTTCAATTCCTTTTGGCTTAAGAGGTCACGATCCTATGAGGGACGCGCCGAAATTGCCAAGGGGACGCCATGCGAACATAACAGGTGGGGTTTCGGATGTATTCCTTGCAGGTCCCCGACCCCCGCTATGATGCGTACCATAATACGCGGGGGAACGATATGCGAATATTCTCATTGAGAAGATTAGTGGGGCGTTTTGCTGCAAAAGGTTTCTGGCGAAGGGCATGCACAATTGCGCGAGGGCGCCGTGCGAACCCTGCCACCGAGGCAGTGTGCCAGGGCCCATGTGGGGCCACGGTGTCGATGATCCAGGTGCCAAAATGTGCGGGGGAGGCGCAACGTAACCATTGTCATCTCGGTGCTCTTCATCGTTATCCATGTAAAGCTGTCCTCGCATGGTTTTGGTCGAAGCACAAAAAAAAACAGGCCCCGAAACAAGTTAAGGAGGAAGGGTGCGATACTGAACAACAAATTAGTTAATGGCGGCGCGGGGAAAGAAGAACCATAAAAAAACGGTTCCTAGCGCTGCGACTTGCAACCGAAGGTCCGCCGCACAGAATGGATGAGGCACCCAAATGCTCATAACGCCCACCGCGCGGCATCTGCGGCGTGCGCCATGTGGCACCCCCAGGACATTGCGTCGGACGCGCGCGCGCGGCAATGCGCCAAGGGCGCGCCGTTCGAAACGCCCGCGCGACGTCGGCACCACACTAGTGCACGCGTCGCAGAGAGCATCAACACCACGCCTCGGGCAACCCATCAGTATATGACGCGCGCGGCGCCCACGTCGCGGCGCCAGCAGCACGTCGCGACACGGCCCCCTTGGCAGATAGCTCACGGCGCTGCGTTTCATGGGGCACTCGGCGCGGCGCGACAGCACGACGCGGCCTGCGGCACGGTTTTGCTGCAGATCCGAGAGGGCGCGCGGCTGCGCGCGTTTCTGTTATGGCGCGGTGGGTTGGAACCGAAATTTCGCGCGCGGGTTGCGTGCTCGCATTCAGCTACGAGCGGCTCGCGCGAGAGATCCGCGCAAGGCGCGGCGAGGCTATATTCTCGGCGTGGCGTTGAAGCCGCCCGCAAAGCACCGCGGCAACGGGATTTGCCCAGCAAGCGTGCCAGCGCCATTCAACGCGCGACGCCAGTGCCACGGCGTGGATCGGGCCAAAGCCCGAGCCAAGCTCCACGCGGGCAAAGCCAGGTTGGCGACCGCGAATTGCTACGCGGCGCC